TATAATTTAAAAAGTAATATTACTGATATATTTGCTATAAATCACATAACAGTATTTATTAAAAGAAATGAAATATTAATGTATATTCTCAGTAGTTTTAATTTGCTAAACCAGGTAGTTTTTCAAGTAATAATTGTCTCTTATGTGAACTGAGGAAAAATATAATTTCCAGCTTTATTTTTTCAATTGGTAATTTTTATTTTCACTAAATGTTAAGTAGCAATGTAATCATTTATATAATAATAGATTAGTACACAATTGTATGTCAACACATTATTTATTACCTTAAACTGTCTGGAATTTATTATGAAAGGGTTGCGCTTGCGTAAAATTTAATATCATGGAAATTCAGCTTTTTTGCCTTTTGGCTAATCTCATCCCTGATAAATAAATGTCCTGCTTTTTTATTTTGTTTGCTCTATCTTATTTGCTGCTATAATTTATATATATTTTTTACAGTATTTTTATTTTTTAATTTGTTAGTTATTAAAATGAAAAGTTTTTGTTTCTTATAAAAATATTATAGGGAAGTGAATATTTTTGTTTAAACTTCTAATATAATACTGTTAAACATTACTTTAGCTTGCAAACATCTCTGACCAAGAAAAATTTTCTAAATCCTTGACAGTTTTCTATGAATAAACCTTTAAATATTCTCTCCCTACTGCTGACAGTGCGCTATCTTCACCAAGCTTGATCTATATCCAAGAAAATATTTATAAATCTGTTCAAGATAAATGCCTCTTAATTTTATGTGGCAGAATAGAAGAAAAAGAAACTAGAGATTGTTCAAGTGTCATCTTGGAAGAAGAAACAATTTGCATGACTGTATTGGTACATAAAATAATTACTTTTTTTCAAGTGTTCAATGGCATCAGAAGTCTTCCAGATAGATGTGTCCACAATCTTTGTATCATACTAAGCCAAACTTAATGGTGCCCAAGGAAGGCCTACTGTGTCCATCCCAGTTTTCTTATTTTGGTGTGCAGGAGCAAATGTTTTGGTAGGATGGTCAGGCAAACATAGAATCCCCAGTGTTTACTTCCCAATCTTGTTTGGTTCTCATTTTATCAGCCCACTGAAGGAATGAAAGGCTAAGTCAGCCTTGTCCAGTCCGAGAATCTGTGGCGTTGGAGAGTGAATTTGTACCACTTGGCCACTGACTGTGGTGTATCATTCTGTCAGATGATATTTCATATTACGAATTAAATTCATAACCATTCATTAACTTGCTAATGGATTTTCAATGATTGTTCAAACATTATTGATTGATTGAACAAAAATTTGATTTGATACCATGTTACTACATTGAATTATGATTGTACTGTAAAAAAGTTTTCATTTTGCACAATATTGATTTCTGCTACGTCTAAACTCTTGTGTAAAAAACATCCAAATATAAGGAAGAGCACAATTGTAGAAATAATCATAAATAATGATTTCGACTATGATAGAGACGAAACTTGTGTTCTTGTTCAGCTTGCAAAAGAAACTAAGTTAAAATCGTTACATGATGTTAAGATACTCCAAAAATGATAAATTTGACTGTAAACTGTTTAACGAATTTAAAATGCATCTGATGCGATTAAATTATTCATTGAAAACTGATTAGATTTATCTTCGTTTAATCATTGTAAAATACAATATATGAGGCTAAGTTCATTATTTTATTTTTCTTTGAATTTTAATCATAATGATTTTACTTAGTTTAAATAAATATTTATATGTTTCTAATTATGAATTTATTTAACTGTCATATTAATTTAGTTTAAATAGTTTACAGTATTAGATTTCTTAGTTAGCATGACATCCCTCTTTTTGGACACTACTCCTAAGCAAGCAATTTTCTTGGCCCTGAGGATGTCTACTTTTCTGTGGTTTCACTGACATGTTTTCATAATACTTTATATTTCAGTAGTCTTTTGTTTTATTACTATTATTTTAGCTGGGTTAAATGTCTGTACATTTTTCCTGTGCACATCTTAATCATAAAATCTTAATATCTAGTTAAGCTGTAATTTTTTTTGTACTTAGGTCTTTAAAAGGTTAAGATTAACAAATCCAGAAGTTGATGATGGAATGATTTTGATGTCTCCGAACTCACAGCTTAAACTGAACTGCAACAGGTAAGTTTTTATTTCTTCTGAAAATTCCCCCCCCCCCTTATTAAAACTGGTAATAGGGTGGAACAACAAAAACAAAAGAAGTTTTCAATAATTGAAAAGCACTACCTACCAAAAGTTCTATATGGATTAGTACATCATTCATGAATTTTTTCAGAATTTTTATGCAACATTCATTTTCCACAAAAACCTTAAAATTTTGAAATTTTTCATATACAATCAAATTTTCAAAACTTGTTCTATGAAAACAAATTACCACTTCGAACTTGAGTATTGAATGAAATATTTTTCATAATGATGCTATTGTGAGACTTATAAAGATGCAACCAAAAGTAAACAAGCTAGAGAAAACTAAAGAGTATGCTATAGCTTCACAGATGTAGCATTGATGGATGATTTAAATTTGACATAAAAACACATTTCAGCATAGAAGAAGCTAATTCCATTAAGTTGGTCGATAAATCAAAGTTACTTATATAAACTCAAAGGAATTTGTTTAGCGTAGTAAACTATCTCATATTCGAAAGTTTCCCCGGGCTTTTCCACACCAGATTTTGTGGATATAATTTGTAAGAAACTGCTTGTATTACATTCATTCAATACTTTTGATCTGTATTGAGATCAGAAGTGTCACACTCTCTCATTTCTAAAACATTTTCTTCAATCTGTTAAAAATTATTATTGAAAGGTGTTCATAGTTGACAAAACTCTTGTCCATAGGTCGAGAATTTCTTAATGACTTGCTGTCAGAGTTTAAAGATTTTGATGCATAAAAAATCTAAAATTTACCTGCAATATACTAGTCAATATGCAACTTTTGGGAGGTAGTGCTTTTTTATTAACGAAACTTTTGCTCCACCTAATAAAAAATTTGTTTTTAATTATTTTTAGAATCAAATTCTGGTCAATTAATGTTAGAGATTTTAATCTATTTCTTTTCTTGTTATAAATGTTTGAGATCTATATGTAAAACATGGTGTTAACAGAGGTATTGACAGGGTGCGTAGCATTTGTAAAAAGTATTTAAAGGTGCTTTTTTGGGGATTTCGTTTTTAAAAGCTTTTAAAGGTGCTTTTTTTCAGCTGGCGTTTTTAAAAAGTGCTTTTTTTCTGAAATTTTTTTCTTCTCCCTTGAGTGATATCTGATGGATCCCATGCATTTCACGAAAAATGGGGAGTTTGCTACGTAATCATTCATGCGGACTTCATGTCGTACCCACGTTATGACTTGTGCATGCGCGCACACTTTAAACCGTAACCCGAGTGCTCCAATTCGGATAAAGAATATCAGATCCTTATGAAATGTTTTTCTTTTTAATTTATTTTAATTTTGTTCTTGTTTATTTTATTTTACTTCTAACACTTTTTTTGACGTAGGGGGTAAGGGTACTTTTGTTCTGAGTTCAGGGTCAAGTTGAATTCACTCGGTGATGTGGGAAAGTACTGATTGTTTCGATTTACGCCCGTTTCTTTTTGGGTTTTTTTTAACGCTAAAACTGTTTATAAAAAGTTTTTGTTTTTCAATAATATCATTGATTGAATATGAATTTTTTGAGTGCTTGAAAATTTTTGTAAAGTGCTTGAAAAGTTTTTAAAAAGTGCTTATTTTTGATTCAAAGATTTGGCTACGCACCCTGATTGAGCTGCTGCAAATTTTCTATCATTTCAACAAATCTTGGTTTAAAATAAAAAATTGTAAAAAATATAAAAATTAGAAGCTCGATTTCCTAATTTTTTTTTTTAATGGGGAAATTCAATTTGTAAAAAAACTTTTTTGACATTTTATTTAGCAATAATTTTGTATGCAAAAATTTATTTATATACATTTATTAAGAATATAAATTTAAGTTAAACTTACAGCCCTGTTATAGTACTGTTTTTTAATGTTTTTTACTATGTGTGCAATGTTTTCTTGTTAGGTTTGGTGAGGCTAAAATAACTTATAAACTCTCACCGACTGAAAGCAAAACATTTGATACTTCACTTGTTAAAGTGGATGAAACAGGAAACTTAGTTGCTTCATCAAAGACTGGGTCTGCTATTCTATTAGTAACTGCTGTAGAAGAATTTGGTGTCACTCAACGTTTATCTGTTGTAGTTAAGGTAATTATTTACTGTTTATAAAATAAATGCTTAATCCTCATCTCAAATTTTTTTTCTGTTAATAAACAAAACAAAAGTCATCTAAGTAATTAAATTTTCATACAGATTTTTCAATTTGGTTTTCTGTTCTTTTGTGATTTTTTTTTCTTTTCACGTTTACATTTTTTTATTTTAGATTTAGCTAGTAATTTAGTAAGATTATTAACATATTTGGATTTTTTTGAGACTTTGGTAATTGCATAAACCGACGTTACGAGATTGAGCTGTATTTTCTTCTTTTTCTCTTTATTATTATTGTTCTTTTTCTTTTTTTCCCCCTTTTTTTGTGAGACATAGTTTACGGAAAGATTTAATTTTGTTTTTGTGAATTCATAATTTATATCAGAATAATATCATTTTTTTTTAGCTCTTATACGATTAAATTTTTTCATCCAATCAATCAAATCATTTGTCTTATGTTTGTTAAAATATAAAAGGAGATATATAAGTAAAATAATTGGTCTTTAATAATTGCTAAATTTAGTTACATTTTAAACTTGCATTGTTTAAGAAAATGCTTAAAATCCAGTTAACAGTTAGTTTTTTTCTCCACCCATGTGTTTTTCACTGTGTTTAGATAATTATTTCAAGTAAAGTAATTGCAATTTTTTTATCCATTCTGTTAGACTTTTGAAATTTATATAGAACAAAATTTATTTAATTTGAGAAAATCTGATTATTAAATATTTTATCCCATTTATGATGTCATATGTTGATGTATAAAGTTGGATTTTTAACCTATATTTTTTTTAGGTTGAAGAGAAAGCATACATGATGTTAAAACCTACAGGAATGATAAGAACTAAAGATTGGCATTTAAATATATTGCCTGTTGGATTTATAATTCCATTTAAAGTAACATATCATAATAATATTGGTCAAGTTTTTGATGCTGTCAGCTCTGAACTTCAATACAGAACCAGCAGGTTGGCTTTTTTTTTTTACTTATGTTTATGCTGATTCATATCTTATGCATCATAGTGTTCCCCGTGGCAGAAACACGGCGACACAGCGACATTGTCGCAGAAAGCGACTGAGATCTTGCAGAAAGATTTTTTTTTATTTGGAAAATAAAAATTTTTGGTTTGCCACAACCAAAAGTTTTCAAAAAAGATTCTGCAGAAACAGAAGCTGTTTTACCAAAACAAAAAAAAAAACATTTTCTACAGAAACAAAAATATTCTGCAGAAGCAATAATGGTTCTGCAAAATTTTTTTCTTACAGAATTGTTTTAAATATTTTTTTCTAGCGNATTCATTACACATACATTTATAACGATAAAAATATCTTGCAGAAAGAGATTGGTTTTAGTTAGGTTTGTCGCAGAAAGTCAGAAAAAATTCTGCCACAGGGATAGTGTTTAACTATATCTAGGAAAATATGTTAATAAAAACTGGAAAATTGATTATTATTTTTACATGTTATAAAGGCATTGGAATTTTAATGAAAGAAATATAGTTGGAAATTAAAATATTTAAAAATCAATGAGTCAGATTTTAATAAGTAAAAAGCTAAGGTGAATATTTTTGTGAGAATTATTCAGGCAAATTGCTTATAAAGTTTATTTTTTCAGACTTAATTCAGCACGAGTGTCTTCCGGAGCTGCAAATAACACCCTGAGCATTCAAATTGTCAAGGCTGGTTTTACTGTTTTAAAAGTAAGTGTTACTTTTTACTGTCCATTCACCTTGTTTGAGGGTAATTAATGTGTACAATCATTTTTAGTATATTTTTCACATTCTATGGAAGATACTTTTGAAACTGTTTTATTACTGTTAAATATCATTAAAAAATATTTTGAATTTCATCTTTAGGTTTGGGATTCTCAGTCATCTATCCCTCCTGATTATATTAAGCTTGTAACTGGTTCAGCTATCGATCCTAATGATGTTCATCTTACTGTTGGTGATGTTGTGTGCTTTGGCAGCCCCTTGGTAACTAAAGAAGGTAATTACATTCTTGAGTTGTTTTGTCTCTTATTCTATTTATTTACTTATTGTACATTTCTATGCTGATTTAGACTCATAAGCTTATTTGCACTTGATATTTAAACTTAAGCTGATTTGCACTTGGTATTTAAACTTAAGCTGATTTGCACTTGATATTTAAACTTAAGCTGATTTGCACTTGATATTTTGACTAAGATGATTTACACTAAATATTTAGACTCGTAAGGTGATGTGCATTTCATACTCGGACTCATAAGCTGATTTCTGCTTTATATTTATTCCTCATTTCTATCATATTATTAATTTAAGTCAATTTAGTTTCCTCTTGAAATCATCTAAGAATATATAATACAGCACTTCATTAAACAATTATGTTCAAACTATATCATGTCATGTTTAAAGTTTAAATCGTGAATTAAAACAATGTAAGTATTAAAGAAACATTATTCTAGTTTGCGTTCAGTGGCATGTCTACAAAATAATCAAGTTTGATTATTTGTACAGAGAAAATTAATTTATAATTATTTCTAGTTATCTTTTGTAAATTTAGTAAGTTTTTGCTTTTAAATTAAGACATTTTGAGTATTTATGTTGTAGTTTCTTGATATTCTTTAATCTAGTAATAAAATATGATTCCTTAATTATGTTGTCCTCACTTTATATTTTTTTATGTTAATTATGCTGTGATGATTACTTTACCATACTCTTAATAATTAGGTCATGGTGGAACATGGTCTAGCTCCAAAAATGTCATAGCAATTCACCCAGTATCCGGAGGAGCTGTTGCCTTAAGCCCAGGACACACAACTATTGTTTATTCATTAGTAAATGGTTTTAGCACATCAACACAGGTAATTTCATTTTTTATTCCAAATATATTCAGAAACAGTTCATAACTGTGAGGAAGTATAAATTACTGATAACCTCAAATATTGTTCTCTATATATATTATAGATAATTCTCTCTCTATATATATCATTAATATGCTACTCTATATATATTATTGATAACTTTAAATGTTATAATCTCTCTCTAAATATAGTATTGATATTTATAATTGACACCTCTGGATTACTGACATGCTACTCTATGTATATTAATATATAGAGTATGTATTATTTTAGAGTTTATATTATAATTATTATGTACTTCATATAAATTATTGGTATATGTATATATTATTGGTGACTTAAAATGTGATCTTAACATCTAATAAGAGGAGAATTAGAAAAATGCTTATTCACATTAAACTAAAGACCTTGTGTATCTTATCAATATTTTGTTTAAGAAGCATTTTAATCATTGCAAAGTATCACTATGTTAAACCCTCTCATTAAAATATTAAATAGGCTTGAACTCATTGCTTTTTTTGGCTGATAAATTAGAAAATGAATGATTTGTTTTGAAATTGGTGATGCTTTGCACAGTCCATATCATACCCTCAAACCACTACACCATTTCTGTTTTTACTGAAATCTGCTTTCCTAATGGTACCAAAGTCAATATCCTATAATTTTAAGAATGAGATTTAAAAGAAATTTGTCAACCGCTACTTAAATAGTTTTAGCAGATGTAATAAAGCTAATATAGACAAATGGGTATGTTAGGTTCTCATAAAGGTTTTATAAAAACTCTATTTAAAACTTCTGGTGAAACAGCTGGGTGCAATTTCTTACCTGTACTACATTAAAAATGTACACATATTGTATGCTAAAACGAAATGAAATATTGGCTAGAAAAAAAGGTTGTTTTTATTAAAGTGCTATACATTTCCCTTTTGTGTTGCAAATTTTGTATAATTCTTCTATTTTCCTGTTGTAGGTAACTATTCAAGATGCAACTCATATAGAAATAGAATCTGGTAGTCTTACAGTTGTGAGTAATCTTCCTCGCTCTAAACCTTACAAGATTCCTGTAATTGTTCAAAATAAGAATTCCCGGAGAACTAATAACATTATAGGTCAGTTAGCATTCTTCTTTGTTAAATTAATCTTTGATAATTTATTCAAGTTTATGTTTTAGGTTGTTGACAATATGTCTATGCTTATAGACAATATGTATGGCAATATGTCTTTTAAACATGTACAGATTTATTACAAATGTTTGTTCCTCGAAGTTTGCCAATCAGTCTTCCAGTGATCTTTAAACTTTGTTTTAAATCGGACATAGCTTATAGCATTGTGCAATGAACTTGCCTAGGACTTACCTTAAAATTACAGGTTTGTTAGAGTATGGCTAATTCCATATCTTGTACCTTTAAACTCTCCATTTAGATTAACAATTGCAAAATTTTATTATGTACCTCATAATTCTTGATGTCCCGCAGTGGCTTGATCGTTAAGACACGGTTCCCAGCAGATCACCGAAGTCAAGCATCACTGACTGCGATCAGTGTGCGGGTGGGTGACCCACTTGGATCAGTCTGCAAAGGGACCGAGGGTGTGCGGTATTGGTCCTCGTTAAACTGTGCTATCGTAAAGTGCTTGACTTCGCTTGCAGGTCGTCAGGCTACCGAAGCGGGGGTGCCATCCCCTCCGCAGAGGATCAAAATTGTGATGGCTTGTCTTCGGATCATCCTCAGGAATGTTTCCCAGACCGTCGCCAATAGCCCATTGTGCAGCTCTAGTGCGACGTAAATGAAAAAATCAATCATAATTCTTGATTAATACACTATTCTGTCATCACTTTTATTTTTTCTTCCTTGTTATTTTTCTAATTTCATATTGGCCCTTTTTGTTGTGCAGTTGTCTTTTGTAAACTCTGCTATTAAAAATAAAAATATTATGCCTCTTAATTTAAGGAATTATGTTAATGTTTTTCGCATACTATAAATTTCACAAAAAAATTAGTATTTGGCCTAAAGCTCTGCATAGAGTGTGTGATTTAAAATAAAAATACTCATACCAATACATAAGTTTTTTTTCTCTAAGTTTTTAATGCAAGGCTACATTTAATGGTTTACACAAACATGTGATGGTTTGATGGACACATGTCAAAAACTTAGTGGACTTTTTTAACAATAATATCAAACTTAAAAAAAAATGATTATTGCTGTTTTTTAATGTAAACAATATTCTGTTAATAATAAAATACTTATAGATACTTATTGGTTGGAGAAATTGAAAATTTTTTGATGCAATTATAAACTTTATGAGAGACTATGTTTATTAATTTATAAATATTAATTTTTGTTTTTTTAGGCAAAAACTGTACATCAGCCACAGAACATTCAATGCCTTTACCTCTTATCCAACCACCATTCACTTGTGAATTAAACTTTATCAGTTCATCAATGGATGTGAGTGTCAATGATTTGTTCCACACATCAAGTGGTTTTGATATTGAGAAAGGTAATGCTTTAAATATTATATTAATAAATAATTTTACCCAATTGAGTTTATTTTCTTCAAATCATATTTTAGTAAAAGGTGTGTTAAGTTTGGTAATTGTTACTTACCTCTTCACTAGTGAAAATTATTTGTACCATCCAAGAAGAAAATTCTGTTTGGTTATTTATTTATTTTTTTTAAACTTCTGGATCTTACACCTCTGTTACTTAATTTATTATTAAGCTTGTAAAATAAAAATTTAATTTACATAGACTATATACCAGGTTTTCAAAAAATGACTAACAATTTGAAAAAATCAATTAAAAAAAAGATAAAAATATACTGCTTTTTGTGATCTGATTAGGAAACAAAATGTATTTTCTCTAATTTTCAAAGTTAGTTACGAAATTCATCAAAAGATGGCGCTGCTAACTTAGCATAACTATGGCTCAAGAATTTCAAAATTGCCATCATTTGCAGAATTAACATGATGCTACCTGAGGACAAAGAACTTGGTGGCAACATTTAATCGGAATGATCTGACATTGAAACATTAATTTAAGAAATAGAATAAAATATTTTCTAACTGTGTGGCATTTGTTTGGGGGGAGGGGGGAATGGAGGTTACAATATTACATAGATGATTATTATTTGCTATGTTTACTGCATATATTACATGTTACAAGGTTCATTATCTAGTCTTTATATCATAGTATGTAATTTTTTTTATAAAAAATTATTTTTTATGATATTTTAGGTACCTATTACTGCAGTATTGAACCACTAGCTGGAAACCATATTGATGAGTATAGTACTTTAGAGGGCCAACTTTCTTTAATAGCTAATCTTGTATCTTTGGATCATACCTCATCTCTTTCCCAGCAACTTTTGTTGCCGTTTTACCCTGCATTTCATGTGCAACAAGAGGAATTAGTTTTATCTGATGTTCAAAGTTCAAATCATATTGTGATATCAGCTGTACCTGCTGTTCAGCGATGCATTCAGGTACTTTTTATCCTTGACCAATCAATTTTATTTTGATACATATTCAAAATTCATTTATATTAGTTTCACTTATTAAAAAAAATTAATGTTTTGTTTTTAATGTTTATAAATGAGCCTTTTTTTATGTTTATTTATCCATCATAAATATTTTTTTGTTGCTGTTTTTCCATGCCAAATTTATAAAATAAAAATTAATTAATAATTTAATGTAGTTTTATCTGTAGTATTATAATTATGATTTTTTTTTAAAGCCAATTAAATATTAAAAATTTTGATTAATTAAAAGCATTGCTTCTTAAAAATTTATTGACATAATAGTAATGGCAGAGTGCATAGCTTTTTTAAAAAGTGCTGAAAGCTGCCTCTTTTCGATTTTTGTTTTTTAAAAACCTTTAAAGGTGCCTTTTTTAACTGGATGTTTGTAAAGTTTATTAAATTTCTTTTTTCTAAAATAAAGAAATTATAAAAATGTTATATCATGTTAAAGTAGAAGATATTTTTTTTGTACCTTGTAATTTAGTTTAGTAGAAATTATTGGCAGGGGCAATATGATTTTCTTGCAGCTATGCACTCTTGTGTCTGAAAATGAGTCTCCTTTCACCCTGTTTAATTTTAGGGTAATTAAATAACTTATATTGATGGTTTTTGAAATTTTCATTTTTAAACAAAAAACTAATTGCTGTGAAATTATAAATAATTGCACCCATGATTCGTGACTGAAGACTTTAAAAAAAAATTGCTTTTTTTCAAAATTTTAAACTAGTTTTAGACTTGTTAAATTTTGAAATTTTGGTTTCTTATGAAACCCCAAAAGATTTACAATATTACGATTTTTTTTTGTTGTCTTTCCGACAAAGTTTTTTAGGATCATTAAAATTAGAGGACTTGATGTTAATGTTAATATCAATTGTTGTCAAGAATTCATCAATAGTCTTTCTGGTTGATGAGCAAGAAGGACAAGGGGATTCCCCTTGTTTGAAAATAAAGAAGCTCTTTATGCTTCATAGAAATGTATTTGTTCTAATTCTATAAGGATATTTTTAATTTTTTAAGGATAAATTAAAGATAAACTAATTTAGACCATTTTTGCTACATTTATTATTCTTTAACCTAAGTGTGCAATTTACATTCTAAATGACATGTTTGCAGCATTGTATATTATTATATTAGCATATGCACTGTTATTTTCAGTTATGACAATACATTATTTAAGTGCATCTTTATATTTTAATTCTGATTTACAGGTAGTTCCAAGTGATCCATCAGCCTTAAAAATCAAGCCAGCTGCATTAAACTCAATGTATCCTTCCACTACCTCTTTTCTGGTCGAGCTACTCGATTTTAATGTCTTATGGAAAATTGATGCATTATCTTTGCATGTTGATATTAGCTGCCCATCCACCAAACAACAAGTAAAAGTCCCTATTAGGATTAAAAGACTTGAAGTACCGTTAGATGGCAGTAAGTTTTATAACAAAGGATTAATGATTATAAGTACTTTTTCACCTACTTCTTGGGTTTTATTATTCCAATTTTTTTTTATAGGTGGCTACTGCCTGCCATCTCCAGTTCCCCCTGTGTCCGAAATTTGGTATGATTGGTATTTCATTCTGAAGATAACCACAGCTGTTGTATTTATCTTTCTAATTTCTTATGGTAAGCTATTTTGTTTATAGGGATGATAAATGCCTGCAATGGTTTTCTGACAATTAAAAGTACCCGTACACCCAGTAATATGAACTTGAATGAGCATCACACATGTTATTATGATGTTGGTCCCCTTTTGCATTGATGAGAGCTTACACATGTCTGGGGAGAGTTTTGGTCCTCTTTTGCATTGATGAGAGCTTGCACATGTCTGGGGAGAGTTTTGGTCATCTTTTGCATTGATGAGAGCTTGCACATGTCTGGGGAGAGTTTCTAACAGCTTTTGAATGGGGGGAGGGGATAGAAATTGACTTGCAGGTGTCCATCTTGAAGTGAATGTTCACAGTGAAGATGGTCCTTTTGGCTGACTGGGTAATTTGCATTTAATCAGTCTTTAAGATGTTCTGTGGGATTTAGATTGGAGCTATAAAAGGGTCTAGCTTTTGAATGCCCAGTTCGCCAAACTGTGGCTATATAAGTCGATGGAAGTTATTCTACTGGAAGAGAAATCAGATTTCCTGGAAAAATTGCCACAGAGTTTGAAAAGTTGTAGTGTTCAGAATATCCATATACTACATGTTCATGTAAGTTCATGTTTCCAACTACATAAACTAAGGAACTCATTCCAAACTATGAATGATACCTTTGGCTGGATAGAGTATATAGACGAAACCTGATCTGTGAAGAAAATGCACGTGCAAGGCTTTCTGAGAACCCTTTTAGTCAAAATCTAATAATGAGACTTGTCAGCTCTTCCACTCTCCAGAACCAAGCTAAAAATTACACAAATTTCATTCAATGTTAGAGACAAACTTAAAATTACCAATAACTGTTAAAATTTTTACTATTTTTTTTTTAAGAATACATGTCTCTAGGCTTCAACTGCATTTCTATTTGCACAAACTTATTTCAGCTCATAACTTAATTTATTATTTGATTTGATTTGATTTTTTACTTGTTTATTAATTTTTTTAAATGTTTGGGCATGTTGGTACACTGACAAATTAAAGAAAGTTTTTTTTGATCATGCCAGTTTCTAAAATATTAAAATTCCATCATTGACTGTTTTATATTCTATAACAAAACTTCTTACATTTTTCTAAAAGAATTGTTTACAACTGGTGTCAGCAAAATTGTATTGAGCCCTGGGGTATGATATGAATTAATTAGTGGTCATAAATGAATATCAATTCTATTCAATTGCACATTTACTGTTTTGCGCAATTTTTTTTTAGAATATCATTTGTAATTGCTATGTAGTTAGTAAATATTTTATAGTAGATTATATCTTATTCAATTTATATTTTAGCATATTTTTTTGCTGTTTAAAATTTGTTTGTTTCATGACTTGTTACTAATTCTCAGACTTTAGAGAAATGATTCTTGCCCCATTTTGCTAGTAGAGCACCAAAGCACCACCTTTACACCACCAGTCATATTTGCAAGATGAGATTGTTTATCCCTTGAAGCAAAGATACTTTTTAATAATGTAACTGGGTAAATTTTGAACAAGTCTAAATATTACTGAAAATATCCATAACTTTGTAATGCAGTGTTTTTCTTTTTAATTGCATTCCCAAACTCATCTATGGCTGAAACTGGCCTCTGTCATGTTAATTAACAAAACGGATAAATAAATTGATTGTGTAGCTCTTGGGCGATTTTAGACTGAAACTAACAAATATGAAATTAAACATTGCGAATCCAGCCAAGTGTCATAAATGGCATCCATCTCATTGATTTAATTAAAAATTAGGTTTTGTCAAAATGAAATGAAGAATTTAATATTCAGGGAATTTTCCCCCTGTTTTATGTTGTTTTCTATTTGGCGGGTTCCATAAGAGAATTATAAAATATTTTGGATCGATGTTCAAAAAGTTTGGCGGTCCCTGGTGTATGGTATTTTTTAATGTATCCTCTTTGGTTTCTCAACTCAGGAAGAAGTATTAAATATTTTAAAATGATTACCTTCAGTTATTTTCTGAATTTATTTTGTATTTGTATAAGTAAACATATGTTTTTGTGACTTATTCTTCTTAGTTTTCCGGTGGTTAACTAGTGCCAGGAAAGGAATGGTGACTCGTCAGCCTGTGTTTCTAAATAACAGTCATAATGGTTCTCACAGTTTCTCTTCACCAGGTTAGTAGTATAACCAGATATATTTGTAATTTTTGAAGTTAATTTTGAGTTTTGTTATGCTATTTTTAATTTGTATAAGAAAATTGTTTCCATTATGTTTTATTAAATTATGTCTCAACTTTAAACTAATTTTTATATTTATCAGCCTTTCATCCCTTCAGTGGGTCGATGAAATGAGTACCAAGCATGCTTGGTACTCATTTTAACACTCATTTAAACACTCGGGACTCCAGGTTGGTTTGACTACTGAACCGAAACATCTGCTCTTGCACCTCTGAGCCAAAGGTCAAGAAAACAGTGAAAACTGGCACAGTATATGGGCCTTCTATGGGCTGTCTCGCCACTGAGTTTTGTTTTATATTTATTACAATCCAATTACATAATGGTATGAAGAATAGACCTTAAATATATTATAGCTAATTACTGTGTAGTTTTAGTTATCAAATCAGACCCAAAATTTTAAATAACCTATTTTTACGTTATTTATGGGTTTAAATTTTTAACCCTAAAATATGGTGAATAGGCACAATCTGAAAAAATATCTAAATAGAAAAACAGTCAAAAGATTGAGTAACTTAAATGGTAATTTTATTTTTTACTTATTACTGTGCAAAAACTTCAAAATTATTTATAAGCTTACAATCATTTGTACACAATCAAAAAATTTTTTTCCTAAAGCTAATTCCATGTAAAAAAATAATTTTTTAGTAGTAAATAATCAGAATTTTAAAGTATAAAATTTAAACATCTAATTTATGAGTAAATATTTTAATTACAAAATCCAGAACTTAAAAAGTTGAACTGTTTCTAAGTTTAATTACTTTTTTTCCCTTAAAAGCAATAAGGTAATAATGTTTCAGATTTTGCTTATTAAAACTTCCTAGTTGAAAAGAATAAAAATTGTTCATATCTTATAAAATATGTTCTTTATTAAATTAGTGAGAAAAAATATTTAAATTGATATTTTTCATAAAATTCTCAGGGTAAACAAGTTTTTTTAAAAGGATGTCAGCATTTTTGAATTTGTATACTTAGTTCTCAAGAGATGGAGAGAAACATGAAAAAGAAGAACATTTTTTAAAGGCACCAGATTTTAAACTTCTTTTCTAACTTAACTTTAAGGAGTGTAAATTAAAATAAATATAACTTGAGAACTATTGTTTGGGATATTAAATGAATATTTCTATTTTTAGGTAGTCCTCAATTTACACCATCACCTTTTCGACCACAGAGGCTTTCTCCTCCAGAAGATAGATTAGAGGACTTATCGCAGCCTCTTTTACGACTCTGCACTCTGGATACTTCTCCTTCTAGACAACAACGAAGGCATTTAGATAATGTGTTCAGGTGAAAAGAAAAAAAAACATTTGATTGAAAAAAGAATATCATCTTCACATTTGTATTTAAGACTTCATTTTGTCGTAAAAAATGTAAATAAGTTGTTTATCCCATTGACATTAGTGTGTTGAGACTTTTAGAAAATTTAATTTCATATTTGTATTGTTAAAGTTAATGGTTCAGCGACAGCAATTGCGAAATGCAAATCTTTACTGTGATGATCATTTGAATTGTATGATATAGTGAGGCTTTTAAATCAAATTTTCCTATTTTGGAAAAGCTATCATCATAAAACTTTTGGTGTGTTATGATTTTCATGTTGTATATGCAATCAGGGTGGCCACTCATTCAGGGAAACTTACCCTTACCTCTGAAAGTTTTTGAAATGCCAGTAATTATCAGTGTTGTTTTTCACATTCATTTCATTGAATTATGATATCACTGTGCCTACATAATTTTATTGTAATTGTTTCTACCTAATAACAGACTATTATTTAATACCAATTATCGTAAAATCTCGATTGATTGTTTCTCAAGGGGTCATTCACTATGATCAATAAACACGGAAAAACAATGAATACGGGTCAACTTAAAATATCAAATAATGACTAGTATGAAAATTAATAAATTTACAGTAAAAAATTTAAGTACTTCCATCAAAAATGTTTACGATGCAAAAAAGAGACAAGTAAATATAATTGTTTTAAATATTTGAAAACTTCGTTCACAGCGGGAGGAAGAAAAAAAATCACATTTGCAGATTGTTGTTTATTTTCTAGAAAGTTTCTCGTTGTTTGAACAGGGTTCCCACGGTCCTTAAAAGTCCTTAAAAACTGCTTAGTTTTTATTTTGGAAAATAAGGGCCCTTAAAAGTACTTAATTTTGATACAAAGTTCTTAAAAGTCCTTAATTTTTCTGCATCACCATTACTTGATAGGAATAATTTTTTCAGTGTTACAAAAATATTTAAAAAAAAGTCATTCTTTTATCACCTAGAATGAGACCATGCATTTTAGAGAGACTAACTTTTTGGCATTACTTAATATTTGACATTATTGGCCCACAACTGAATATGTTATGCGTGCCTAACAGCGAAATATAAAAACTGGATTTAATTTTTTCAATATGTTCCCAAATTTCATTATTTACTCTTTTTTTTTTAAATGTGTGAAAAAAAATGCAAATTTTAATTTCAGCACTTGATTTTACTATTCAATTTCAGTGAAATCATTAAAAATGGAATACGGTTTTGCTTCATAGATGTTGTTAACATTTAACAATCTGAAGATACTTTTTTAAAAAAAAACCAACCTCGGTTTGCAGAAATTACCTGGTCCTGTTTTACTGAACTCTGTTAATACAGTTATATCAGTACTTACATTATAATAAAANCTTGTTTTTCGTAACTAATTATATCTATAAATATACATCCTGTCAGTTCTGTTATCAATGATTTTTTTAAATAAATAATTTTGTTTATAATTTCATGTTTAACATCTAAAACTGTTGAATAATAAACATTATTGCAAACCAATTCCCATCTCTCTGAAACTACTTGTTTAATATGAAAACTTTTGGCATGAAATAATGAACAATTTTAGTTAAAAAAAAAATTTTCTTTATGCATTTATAAATTCCTTATACTAATATATACATGTGTAAATTTGAAATCACCCTGGAAATAAATTTTGCAAATTTTTAGCTTAAATCATGAAAATTGCTAAAATTTTACTCTTAAAATCTTTTAGGAAATTCGGTGTTGAAAGATTGCTACCCTGATTCAGTTTTATGCAATATCAATCTTTAAAATCTAATCTGTTAATTATTGACTTTTGATGTACCATATTAGATCCCCACTATCTTATGAATATTGTGATATGATTGTTCTGGTCACAGTGGGATCTATTATGGAGCAGGATTAGTGATTGTAGTTATGTTTGAAAATGTCAGCACCTTACCTGTTAACTTTTAACTCTCATTTTGAATTGATAATGTGAGAAATTAAGATAGTAAATGATATAATAATGTCTTGGCTGTATTACATTTACAAATTTAAACATACCTGTCAATTGATTCAGTCAGTTTATCCTAGTAAAATAAAAAATGTAATTTTTTTTTATAAAATTTGGAAAATTTCTGTGGAGGGAGACCTCTGTTGATATAGTTTTTAACTTAGTTTATTGTTTGATTGATTATTTAAAAAATATCTCTTCTAAATAATAAATCTTTTTTATGACTCTTTTTTTTTAAATATTCAAAAATTGTTTTCCAGAGTGAATTGAATTCGAAATCACTGTTCAAATATGAAATAAAAAAGTTACTAAAACATTTTATATTCAAATTCATTTAATACCAATTACAATTGGAAAATATTGCAGTCAATTTAAATTTATAATTATTTGTACTATATAGTTTTTGGATTTTTTTTTTTTCCAAAAATTTTTTTTTTTCTATAATTCCCTACAATTTAATTCACATGATGTAATTGTATTAAACATTTTAACTATGCAATAAATGATTACAGCTGTCATTAAATGTGTTCATAGTATAACTATCTTTTGCTTAGTTTTTTTTTCACGTTTTTATTTTTTTCATCCAGTGAAATTTACATCTTAGAACTTTCCTCATAAGTTTTGATAAACATGGATACTCTCACTTTTAATCTATTTTCTATTGCAAATGATGGTAAACATACATCTTTTGAATGACTTTATTTAAAAATATTTTAAATGTTCCTTTTTTTTGTATAAAAGAATATACCTTTGCAAAATGTTAAGCCATGGTATGCAGCCATTTATCTGTAATTTTGTTTTGTTTGTAACTAATTCTTATCAATTTGAAATTTGGTCAAAATTCTGGAAGTGGTTTACTAAAACATACACCTAGTATGATAAGAATAATAAGTGTTAGATAAGACTGATGTAATATAAATTACCAACTAAAGCATTTACATTTTTACTGATTTTTTTTAAATGTATAGTTTTGTATAAATCTTAGCAAAGTGAAAATTTCAAAGTTATAATAATTTTTAATAAAAATAATAAAAATTTAAATAAAAATAATTTTTTTTAATATAGTTAATGACATTTGTAAAAGAAATAGCTTTATGATAAATAATTGTGAACTTACAGTGCTCTCCAAAAAGTAAAATATTTTTCTCAAAACAGATAAAAATGTACAATTACTATAAAATTCCATGAATAATCAATATTTTGAATGAAAAGAAGAACAAAATTATGTAGTTTATAAATCATTAGTTTGTCCTAAATTTTGCTTTTTAAAAATTTATTGGAAAAAAATATGAAGTTTATATAAGCTTAAAATAGGGGGGTGGAGTTTAACCTTAATGGATAATAGTGCATTAAAAGCAGCATGACTCTATTAATGAGTTCAATGCCGACATTGAAGAAACTGCACATGGGAAAAAGAGCATGTAAAATGTTTTTTAAAAATATTGAACACTTTCTTTGCAATTTTTTTGTCGGTTTTTATCGCACTATTCTTACTAATGGTGACACTTGACAAATTCCCAGCATTACAATTTCTTTTGCTAAAAATATTGTTCCAACTCCATTTTTGGTTTTTTACTGTAACAATTTTGTTTTGATTAAAAAAGTGGGTGTTGCCGTTTGAAAATTCTGTAATTGTAACTGCAAAAGCTATACAATAGTTTTTAACTATTGTTCTTGTGCACATAGATCATAATACCCATAAACAAAATTTTAGAATCACCCTGCATTTATTTATTACATGATATCTTCTAGTATTAAAAACAACGAATGGAAATAGTCTGAAGTTGCATTTTTCACCACTAGAACTATTTTTAAAGTTATACTAGTTATCAAGCTTGTTTTCATACAACTGCAAACATCTTGGCAAAGCAACATTGCCATTCAGCTAAAATTTACCAAGAAGTTTTAAGTTGTAAATAATAATATTCCAACTCTCCTCACCACATCTGTTTTGAAGTTCGTAAATTTAACTATGATCTCGGAAAATTTTAATTATTTAATCAGAAACTAATTCTTTTAATCTCGAAAAAATGTTAAATTTTTACTGTCATTGAAATTCATAATAAGACAATGTCCTGTTCTAAGGGCCGACCGCTTCATAGAACCTAGAAATTGGGATATTCAGGGCCACCCAGCCCCTAATCAAAAATCCATATTTTTTTTAAAGAAAATAATTTTTATTTCTATTATATTGAACTATCTATGTAAATATAATTTATCATACTTGGTTAATTTAGATGACCACTTCATGAATTTCAACTGTTTTGTTAATTTCAGTTTAAGGCTCTGTAATGCAATGTTCTTATTGTAGACACCACTGCCNGTTAATTATTGATTTTTGTTGAACCATTTTAGATCCCCACTAACTTATAAATATTGTGATATGATTGTTCTGGTCACAGTGGGATCTATTATGGAGCAGGATTGATGATTGTAGTTATGTTTGAAAATGTCAGCACCTTTCCTGTTGATTTTTAACTCTCATTTTGAATTGATAATGTGAGAAATTAAGATAGTTAATGATATAATGATGTCTTGGCTGTATTACATTTACAAATTTATAATGCCTGTCAACTCTTGATTCTGCCAGTTTATCCTAGTTAAATAAATTTTTTATAAAATTTTGAAAATTTCTGTGGAGGGAGACCTCTGTAGATATAGTTTTTAACTCAGTTTATTGTTTGATTGATTATTTAAAAAATATCGCTTCTAAATGATAAATCTTTTTTTATAGCTCTTTTTTTTTAATATTCAAATTTTTTTTTTTTTTTTTTAAAAACTCTCATATTTTGAATAAATTTTTTTTCTTTGTAAAATGAATTAAATTCAAAATCACTGTTTTCAAAGATGATTAAAAAGTTATTAAAACATTTTGTATTCAAATTCATTTAATATAAAATCTTTTACATTCATACCAATTACAATTGGAAAATATTGCTGTCAATTTATAATTATTAGTGCTATATAGTTTTTGGATTTTTTTTTCCCCAAAATTTTTTTTATTTCTACAATTCCCTAAAAATTAATTCACATGATGTAATTGTATTAAACATTTTAACTATGCAATAAATGAATTAAAGTTTGTATTGTTTCATAAAATCTACTGATTTACTGATTACAGCTGTCATTAAATGTGTTCATAGTGTAACTATCTTTTGCTGAGATTTTTTTTAGTTTATTTTTTTTTCACATTGTTTTTATTTTTTTCATCCAGAGAAATTTACATCTTAGAACTTTCCTCATAAGTTTTGATAAACATGAATACTCTCACTTTTAATCCATTTTCTATTGCAAATGATGGTAAACATACATCTTTTGAATGACTTTATTTAAAAATATTTTAAATGTTCCTTTTTTTTGTATAAAAGAATATACCTTTGCAAAATGTTAAGCCATGGTAAGCAGCCATTTATCTGTATTTTTGTTTTGTTTGTAACTAATTCTTATCAATTTGAAGCTTGGTCAAAATTCTGGAAGTGGTTTACTAAAACGTACACCTAGTATGATAAGAATAATAAGTGTTAGATAAGACTGATGTAATATAAGTTACCAACTGAAGCATTTACATTTTTACTGATTATTTTTTAATGTATAGTTTTGTGTAAATCTTAGCAAAGTAAAAATTTCAAAGTTATTAAAATAATTTTTTTTTAATGAAATTAATGACTTTTGTAAAAGAAATAGCTTTATGATAAATAATTGTGAACTTACAGTGCTCTCCGACAAGTAAAATATTTTTCTCAAAACAGATAAAAATGTACAATTACTATAAAATTAATAAAATTCCATAAATAATCAATATTTTGAATGAAAAGAAGAAAAAAAATTATGTAATTTATAAATCATTAGTTTGTTCTAAATTTTGCTTTTTGCAGATTTATTGGAAAAAATATGAAGTTTATATAAGCTTAAAATAGGGGGTTGGAGTTTAACCCTTAATGGATAATAGTGCCATAAAAGCAGTATGACTCTATTAATGAGTCCAATGCCGACATTGAAGAAACTGTGCATGTGAAAAAGAGCATGTAAAATTTTTAAAAAAATATCAAACACTTTCTTTGCAATTTTTTTTATTGGTTTTTATCACACTATTCTCATTAATGGTGACGCTTAACAAATTCAGAGCATTACAATTTCTTGTGCCAAAAGTATTGTTCCAACTCCATTTTGAATTTTTTACTGTAACAATTTTGTTTCGATTAAAAAAGTGGGTGTTGCCATTTGAAAATTCTGTAGTTGTAACTGCAAGAGCTATGCAATAATTTTTAACTATTGTTCTTTTGTGCATAGATCATAATACACATAAACAAAATTTTAGAATCACCCTGTACACAATATCTTCTAGTATTAAAAACGATGAATTGAAATAGTCTAAAGTTGCAATTTTAACCACTAAAACTTTTTTTAAGGTTTACTAGCTATCAAGCTTGTTTTCATGCAACTGCAAACATCTTGGCAAAATAACATTGCCAATCAGCTAAAATGTACCGAAAAATTTTAAGTTGTAAATAATAAAATTTCAGCTGGCCTCACCAGTCCACATCTATTTTGAAGTTTGTAAATTTAACTATGATCTATGAAAATTTTAACTATATAATCAAAAACTAATTCCTTTATCTCGAAAAAATGTTAAATTTTTACTGTCATTGAAATTCATAATAAGACCATGTCCTGTTCTAAGGGCCGACCGCTTCATAGAACCTAGGAATTGGGATATTCAGGGCCACCCAGCCCCTAATCAAAAATCCATATATTTTTTAGAAAAATAATTTTTATTTCTATTATATTGAACTATCTATGTAAATATAATTTATCATACTTGGTTAATTTAGATGACCACTTCATGAATTTCAACTGTTTTGTTAATTTCAGTTTAAGGCTCTGTAATGCAATGTTCTTATTGTAGACACCACTGCCATCTTTGTCATATTGATTGAAAAGAAATAAACTTTTCATAACTTTTGTTTGTATTGCCTCCAGATTATTTTGAAGCGGGAAGTATTCAAGATAACATTCTCCTATTGTGATCTCCATCTTTCATGCTGTGCTATTTAGTCTAGTTGAAAAAGTGTGCACAGTTTGTTTAACATGGAGAAAAACTGGGTTCTTGAAATTCTGAGATTAGATTGCTCAACACACTATTTCTTAATCCGGCACGGTTAGAGTGCTAGTTCCAGCTTTTTCTGATCTAGCTTGAGGATTTCCTAAAACTAAAAGTAATTTGTCTCTTAATATTCAATGTAAGAAAAAAGCACACAGTAGGAAAAATCTCATAATTTTGCCTCAAACATTATTTTACTGTCTGTTTATCATTATGTGCAACGAAACAGTATTATAATGTTATGCATAAACTAAACAAGATAGTTTAAAATCTTATGTTTTATTAAAACTTTCAGTACATTAAATGAATGAACGTTTTGACACAATTATGAAATCAAATAAAAACCAATATATATTGATGAGTTTCAAGAAGATGAAAAAACACCAGAAATATTAACAAATGAACTATATAAATGCAGTATTTCGCAGATCTCTTGAACTTGTGAAGACGTGTGTAGACAATCAGGAATTCCAGTACTCTTCTAATGGCTTCTGTGTTTGGGAAGTAATCCAATCCAGGTATTTTCTAACATTGACATACACTCCTGGTACTCCTTCATGCCCACAATCGATTCCCCAAGACACTAGTCCGGCAACCGCGTAAGAGTTGTCATTTCTGTAGCAAACCAAAGGCCCACCACCATCACCCTTGCATGTGTCTTGCCCAGCTTTGCCTCCAGCACAGAGGAAACCTCCATGCAATTTGAAGCGTGGTCCTAATCTTGTTTTTCGAAGCATCGCCTGGCATTCATCATTTGCTAGAACTGGTAGAGTTACTTCTTTCATGATCAGGGAAAATCGTCCGCTTTCTGAAAAAAATGAATTACGACCAATGTTTAAAAATATATATATATGAAAATCAGAAGTCTACGAAATAGTCAAGAACAGAATCCTAGCATACAATGATGTGCTGGAAAATTAAGTGAAAGGCTCTATTTCAGAAAATGAAATTAGGAAACAATTACAAGTGCTACAAATGACTAGTTTTATTTTTTAAAAATAATCAAAAAATTACTCTAAAATCGGGTGTTAGCCTTATTTTATTAAAATTGTTATATAAAATATTTACCCAAAATGCTTCTTTTCTCATATTTGGATCAAAGAGTGTATCCTCATTAATTTTAATGTATATTTCTAGTACCTGCAATCCCACCAGATTATTTTTTCATTTCTTTTGCAATTTTTTGTCCAAATATTTACCTGTACTACTATTCTTTAATGGCATCCAATATTGCTACTATACTTTACAGAATTTTTTTTTATTTTAAAAAAAGCAGCTCTTTATTTTTTGTTGACTGCTTTGTGTTATTAGTCCAGTGCCATCTGCAAAATGTCATATTGCAAAAATTAGACATGGCGCAAGTGCCAGAAATTTTTTTTAAATCTCTGCACATTCTAAATGGTTTATGGTTTGTTATCTCAAGGTCTGATAAAAAATTGTTTTAGTTTTGAGAGCCGCATTTAGCTATAATCTTACAATTAAAAACCTAAGTAAACTTAATGAATTTTATTGTGTTATAAGTATAAATTAGTGAACATCATCATGCAATTTAGAGAATTAATAAGCGTATGATAAAATTCCACCATATCATAGTGTAAAATTCAGCTACTGCAAAAATAATTTTTGCAATCACAATTACACCATTTGGTCCTTAGTCTATGATCACTACCAATGGGTTAAGCTAATCCAGCCATCTCATATTATTGAGCTATTTCTGCGTAATATTATAAAAGTACACAAAACTGTTTTCCTTACTTATCTTAGTAAATTTAAGTGTTGCTCAATACTTACTGTATGCATCTGTACCCCATCCAGTAGTAATGCATTCATGTCCTGTGAAGTCGTCTTCATCGTGGGGAAGGCATGCCGTGTCTATGTGGGGTTTAAAGACGACGTCTTTATCCAAGCGAACGACTGCAATGTCATTAAAAAGATTTCTCTCTCTATACTGAGGATGGAGCATTATCTGTTCTGCGCCATAATCTTCGTGCTTCATAAACTCGTCTGTATTTTGAGTGTCCCATTCTCCCAGTCGAATAACCATACTTCCTTTGTCAGTTCTAATTGAAGTGGGGAAAAAAATGTTCAAAATCAATTTATATGTAGAAATTATAAAAAAAATTCATTTTTATGACTTATTTTTGTGAAGAGAAATGTTAGGTACATTCTATCGAATTCCTAAAATTGAATGTCGAAATAAAGCTTTATATTTTCCACATAGATATTCTCTAATTTTTTTTTTTTTTTTTTAGTTTCAAAAATTAAAATTGTATAGAAATAAACAAGATATTTTACCATAAAAAATTTGCATTGTGATATTACTAATATCTCAATGAAGATGTTGCATTCTGTATGGAAGAGTTTAAAATTGCTTGTTAAACCCCTTTTTTCTTATTTCTCATTAATTAATGCAACTTCTCAAACTAGTGTATAAAATTCATTTAATACATTCTCAACTTTAGAACCTTGTTTACCTTAGAAACCAAATCATTAAAAAAAAAAAACTAATAATTATCTAGTCTTACAAGTAAGTCAATGAGAAACTCACAAGAATTTATCGACGCAATGAGCTACAGTGAGTATGTGTCGATTATCAATCAAAGTTCCTCCACACTTGAAGATAAAATCATTTCCATCACGTCTTAATACAGCAGCCTACAATAAAAAAAAAGATTTTCACAATTTTATAATTAAATAACTTTCTTCTGAAACAATTTGAAACTAATATTTAATTATTAAATAGCAAGTGATGTGTTCGATTGATTGCAACATCTTATAGTTTTTTATCTGCAGGAAAAAAAATGCAAGGTGGCTTCAGGAGTATTTTTATCTCGTAATTTTTATTAAGGTTATTTTGTGCAATTGAAAGATAATCGTAAGCGATAAATTCAGAATTGAGATTTTTATATATTTGGCATCTATGTATGATAAGCTACATATTGCAAAAAAAAAAAAAGAAAAAAGTTTTCAAATTAAAAAAGTTGTTTTATCAGTTTTATGAAATTCTATTTTGGCGTTGATAGCATTAGCAATAGAAAGAAAATAGTTGTCATGCCATTTTTCTCAAAATCCATCATGAAGCACTTGCGTTGTTTTTTCAATTGCACGGCAGTATCGCTGTAGCCTTCACACACAATTAGTGAGACTCCACCTAGCTGTATAATGAAGTAGAAATCTTTTTTTCGCATGCTATGTCAATTGCGCACAAAAACGCCTGGATCATCATTATTTTAATTTTTTTTTTTACGCTCCTACCTTAAGGATAGCTCTCAACTTAAGGTATTGCTTACTTTATGAAAATATATACATCGGCACAAAATGCCAGATTAAGAAAATGGGCACAGCAAAAAGTGCACCTTTTCAATATTCATTTCAAATTTAACAACTAAACGAGGAATTTTGTGCTTACTTTTTGAAACGCTAGGCATAATCACTTTGGGGCAGGTCTAGACTTTGGAGTAGAGGTGGCTGAATATATTACAGTTGTAACTTTTCAGACTATCTCTTCGTTTTCAGATCACGAAACGATGAAGTGGGTTTTGAAAATCTAAATTCGTGCAAGGTCAATTTAATATCACTATTATAAATTTATAGGACACGTGGCAACCTCCTTTAGAGCCGCATACATGTTCTTAAACACACATTTTGAGATGTGTCCGTTTTCTTATACGCACATCCTGAGTTGTGTCCAAAATAAAAAGCTGGCTAGATGCTCAAAACAGAAAATTTAACTTTTTCTTGTGATTTTAATTAATTTTCTGATTATTTTAATTTTAAATGTAGCGTAGAGATGCTAACGAGCGTGTTTTTAACTATCTCTTATCGCATAACAGTTGCACAAAGCTATTTCTGGAAACACCCATGTATACAAATTTTAAAAACTCATAAATAGCTTTTTTAAATATTATCAGAAAGCATAAAGCACATCTTTTCTTTGGACAAAGGGTCAATACAATATTTTTAATTCAATGCTTAAATCTGTTTTTAAAAACTTAATGTACTGCTTTTTACTAAATGGCAATAATTGTTACGGGATAATACAATAAACTATTAATGCCTGGATTTACAATTAAAAAAGCACATGATGTCATACTAAGTGCTAAAAATTAATATTTTGCTGTTGCAACTTGTTTGAAACTAAGCCAATTGATAAAATAGAAGCTAATACCTGCCAAGGCCATTCTCCAAATTCAGCTTCTCCGCTTTCATGTGCAGATAATATGCGTCCATTGATACCTCCTGGATTTCTTGTACCACATTTGTGCTCATATGGAACTATGGTTGAAGTTTCTGGATTACGGCAACATACATGGTATGGTCCACACCCTGGAGGAACATATTTTTCATCCTTTGAATTAAACAATATACATTTTATTTTAAACAGGACAACAAAAATTTAATATTAAACAATTATTTAGATTTGGTACAAAGTATTAGGGAACCGCCGGAAAGTAATGTAGTTTCGGTGCTTTTGATATTTGTTATCAAGATTTAATTTTTAATCAATAATATATTCACCCTCGTCAGATACAACCTTTCAATGCCGGATCGAAAATGAATCGAAATAGATCGGAAAAAATGAATTGGTATCTGATACTAACGAATATTTAGTGCGCAGAAACGACATTATTTTCCGGTCCTCCTAATAATAAATTTCAATTCGTACTAGCTTAGTTAAATGTTACTGTAAACTAATCGGGATACCTCTAGGTTGCGTTAACCTGAGGGTTAATTTTTTAGAGAGAAACCTGTTTAATTTCGTGGCAACAAACTATAATTTTATAATTATTAAAAATATACTTTAAAAAAACGAATTCTTATGAACTATACCAATTGTCAGCATTTACTTAAAAATATTAATATTTTGATAAATATTTATAATTTCAAAATGCTTCTGAAAAGGGAAACAACAGCTATATGGCAAGGAATTTTTAGTATTATCAAAGCAATTAAACTCACAGCTTCTAATGTATATCTTTAATGATTTTATATGGGCAAATGATATCAACGATGGAAAAAAAGTTTCAGGACTATTTTTTAGTATGAAAAACTGGGCAGTCACGTAAGGCTTAAATTTGATAAGTTTTATATTACCGTAATACAATCTGCAAATTATAGTTTGTTGCAATACGGTTATTAATATTATATACTAGCTGTCTGAAATAGAAAATTGATCTGTCTTCATATACTCACTACTTCATGATACTACGTTGACCTACGTTGAAAAAATGCTCAACAGTGTAGAACAAAAGTTAAACGTGTTAGATTTTTAATAGTTGTGAGAAGAGAAACGTTTGTAATCTCAAATAAATTTTAAATTATGTGATGCTTATAGAAAGTCAATGTTCCTCATTTACTTTCATTTCAAAAAATGGAACTTTTTTTTTATATATCGGGCACTTATTGTCCCATTGGCCACAGAAATGGCAGAACTGCTACTCTCTTCTCGTTACCCAGTGGGCACCTGTGGCGAAGCCACGTAGGTGGAGCAGCGTCGCCCACGTCACACAACCACAAACCAGTCTATAGGGCGGGTCACATTCACACAAAGGAGAAAGTACATAGAACACAGAGAGAGAAAGAAACATCTATGTCCTGAGCAGGATTCGAACCCGCGGTCAATGACTCCGCAGTCAGACACGCTAACCACTCGGCCACCTGGTCGACGAAAAATAGAACTTATTTTGGTGTTTTTAGAAAATGCTTACTTTTGAAAATATACATCTAAGAGTATTCAGCTCAAATATTATTTGCTTATTTATTAAATGACGAAATTAAGCAGTACGAGTCCTTATTTGCTAAGATAAGAATGGGAAAATGTTTATGGCTGGAGTGGTTATAATGACCGATGCATTGCTTCCCGTTTGTTATTCTATAGATGCAGTGTTAGTTTTATCCGTTAGAACGTCCGCACTGAATAATTTATTCCAATATAGCGACCGAAATTTAGTTATTTAATTTAGAAAAAGTTTCAAGGAAATTATTTAAATTCATTATTTCCTTTAATGCTACTACACAATATTATTTTAAACCGTTCTTTTATGTATATAAAAGATGTTCATTTACAAAACAAAAGATGCAATCATATACAAAAGATGTTCAAAGAAAAAAAGATGCGTCATTTACAATTTTTCTGTTAGTTACCAAATCAAGTGTTGACTATTTTTAAATCTATTCTCGAAATTGTTGTCTTTTTTTTTTACAGGAAAATACAAATTAAACTTTTCATTTTTTTTTGCATTTCAAAACGCTTTAACTTCAGAAGATAAACTTTAAAAACCTGATAAAACTTTTTTTTGTGTGGATTTTAACGAATTTTTAATGACATTGTTTCATTAAGATAAGCAAACAATATTTTGTAAAAGCTAATCCCTTTTTATTGCAAATAAAGCTTTTATATTTAAAGAAGCCCATACCGAGATTCGCGACAATCTGAAATTCAGAAATAAGTGTCCAATATTTTCAAGTCATTTGAATGAACATTGTAAAACTATGACTATTTCAAGCCAAGTAAATAACACAGGAGGATAGATACGAAATGTACTAACGGGTACATAGATCAAATTTCCTTTCATTCCGACAAATTACTTAGAAAATTGGGACTTCCAAATTTCCGGAGCTTTTAGCGGACACAAATATTTATTTGCTGTTTTATCTTCTTCCTTTTTCGACTTCCGTGTTATTATGAGATGACAAGAACGTAACACGCTTCCACGATTTTTATTTCTGTCGACACTGATAAATAATGTGACATTGATAACACATCCACATTACACCAATATCTGTATAGGCTATATGTTTCTGTGCATGTAGATTAAATGTGTTAATCTTTTGACTCAGAATTTTTATTAAACATTTTTTTCTTATTTTTTTCATTGTTTTATATTAATTTAGGTTAAAAAATATTTCAGCATTTTAATAATTTATAGTTATGATATACAGCATGAAACACCTGTGTTTTTTACTGCATTAAAGTAAAATATTTCAAACACAACTCATTTAAAAAGAATAATTTTTTCAAATTTTCACTTATTTTCAGTTATTTAGATCCAAGAGAAACAGTTTTATTTATCATTGAAATTTCTTTAATTTGTAAAATCAATTATCAATTAATTTTTGAATATGAATAAAAAAATTTTTTTCCAAGCTACTTTTTTTGGATTTTATATTTTAGTGCAAATGTTATTCCGATAATTTAACAGATTTCGTGATTACTGTTTTTTGTGATTAAAAAAGTACCAAAATACATTTTTGCTTGTAATTAGAGCGGCAGAAAAAATATTATATAGTTATCTAATTTATATAATCTATGGATTATAATCTTTAGATTATGGATCTAATAAAAAGGAAATCTGGGTCAAAATAACCTGAAATTAAAAAAAATAAATCTATGCTATCAAACACAGTGTTAAGCGTTTAAGGTACTAGAATGACTTCTGATTTAATTACTTTAAAATTTAATTTTTATTTATGTATTATGTACTAAAACATGATATTAATGTAATGAAAGTTTAAAGAGATTTTTTTTCTTCAAGTTGTTAGGTGTTAAAAGTTGTCAAAATATTTTAAAAGAAAGATACTTTTTTAAAGCATCCAACTTTGTAATAAATTATTATTTTTCAATTTTAATTGCTTTATAGTGGTTCTAAGAAATAAACTTATGGAAGAATCTATACATTAGATATAATAATAATTAAATAATTTATGGCTATAATCTCAAAGCATTAAAAGAAAAAAAGGTTAAAAGTTTAAGTAAATTTTTTCGTAAATTTAGTTATAAAATAAAAAAAAAGTTTGATCAATTAGTGCATAGCTTTTTCCTAAGGCTTATATCATGAGAGCATTTATGCAAATTTTCAAGTTTAGGACTAACATATTTTAAGATATCACGTTTGAAAATAGGGGTAATAAAACGAGAAAACACGTTTTGAGTTTATGGCTAAACTGACAGGTCTTGATATTTCGGTCTGAAGGTGATTTTTTTTTAATAATAACTTTTGTTGCTATAGTTATGGAAACAAAATTCAAATGGTTTTGGAAAGATAAAAATGAATGATTATAATTTTATGTGAAAATCCGACGTTTAATGATTTAGTCATAAATGGACTAAAAAATTTGTTCAATTCTTCTAGATATAGCTTCAGTTGGTATTTTTAGTTCATATTTTTTTATGAAATTAATTTTTGGATTGGTTTGCTCCCATTTATTATTGGCACAAGGCCTTGAATAGGCTAAAGTGGTATTCTATTTTATAGACAAATCTAAAAAAATATTTATTATTTGAAATAGTTAAATGTATTAAGATGTAATTTTTCTTACTCTACTTACGATTCATATTATGAAATATAAATATGCAGATAGATGAAAAAGTTATTTCCTGAATTTTCTGCACTCCTTCACAAAAAGTAACTAAATAAATATTCCTTTGAAATTATTACTAAGGAAATTCAACAATTATATTTTTGCTGAAATGAAGATTTCCCTTTCTAGCAGAGCTTGAAACATTCAAACTACTAAAATCTAAAAAGAAAGTAAAGAAACGTAGATGGATCGTGATGCATGACGTCACGAAACGAGTACCGTGGTTCTCTGAATTAATAAGTCCTCCTTTCGAGGTGCCTCTGATTCGACCCAGTAATTAAAAACGTCATGCTGTTTTTACGGTCCGTTAAAGGTTAATTTATTCAATGAATTTAATCGATTTTAACTAATGATGTTTGAAGGTAAGAGTTTTAACATTGTGATTATAAAATTGTATTCAAGCTATTAAGTCAATCACCAACACATTGAGAAATATTAAAGTCGTAAATCTCCTCGTTCCCGAAAAAAATGTAGCTCATCAATTATTTTCTATTTTTATCGATAAAATAATTTGAAGATTAGTGAAAATTGGAAAATTGAAGACTATCGATTTAGTTTCACTAAATTAAATTTCCACATTTGATAAATTTATTGAAAAAAAAAAAAAAAAAAAAAAAAAAAAAAAAAAAAAAAAAAACAGAAATAATCTAAAGATGCTTCTGGTTAACTTTCTGTTAAACTTTGATTAATGTTTACTAAATTTTATTAACTTTCATACTTCCAATTCTAAAAAAATTTGAGATGGTTATGAAATTTTCTTCGTGGAAAAAGGTGGGCAGAGATTTGTCATTTTCTTAGTATCAGTAAGGACATGCTTGTAAGAAAAAAGTAAAAAGTAAGCAACTGACCTGTTTCGCCTAACTTCTATAAGACATCGTGATAAAATTTAATTTTAAAATAGGTATTTTTTTGTTCGGTGTTTGCGGTTTCATTTGAGTAGTTCAAAAAGGTGAAAGTAAGATTGTGAAAGTTTATGAGGAAACCAAGGTTAAATAAACTAATAAATTTCTTTCAGATAATTTTGGTAATGACGACGAGCACAAAGTAACATAAAAAAAAGGAATTTTCTCAGTCAAACTGCAGCATAATCTTCATTAATTCAAATTCGTTTGTAATCCCAATGCAGCATTGTCAGTAATAGATCAGCTTAATTTAGCTTGTAAGATTACTAAAAATTAATCATTAAAAAGTTTATAATTAAATTTTTTTTAACTTTAATTAGAATTTTATATATTCATTAATATTTTCAAATGGGAAAGGTTTCGATAGAAAAAAATAATAATAATCTGAACCAAATAAAATAACAAATAATTCAGAAATTAGTAAATTTTTTTACAAAATTTGTATCGTGTTTTTTTTTTCTTAATTTTTAATTGTATTCAAGCTAAAATAAAGCTAATTATACATCTTCAGCTAAATATGTACTGATTATTTTTCGTTTTAGAATGTATAAGTTTTTGAATAATTCAGAATGTGCAAAGGCAAAGTGAAATACACAAATAAGAAGTTCAGAATAAAGGAATACAGTATATGCAATCTGAATAATCCCAGTTTTCGTTTTTTGTGTGTCAGATTTAAAAAGGGAAAAATAGTCCCTTATTTTACGCCAAAGAGGATATAAAAAATCTTTTTTTCCTTTTCTTTTAAATAAAATGAAAATTGGACATAAAAAGCTTTTGTTACGTAAATTAGAATTTTAAACATTCATTAATATTTTGAAATGGAATATATCTCTATAAAAATAAGTCTAAACTAAGTAGAATAAAAAAAAAAAAAATTCAGAAATTATTAATTAAAAATTTTTGCTTCTAATCAGTTTTGATATTATTCAAGAGAAAATATAGATATAGCTGATTAAAGATCTTTATCTAAATACATGCTGACTATTTTTCGTTTCAAATTAAAAATTTCAGGACATTTCAAAATTTGCGAGGAGCTCATAATATGCAAATACGAAGTTCAGAATATGAGAATACATCATATAAGATCTGAATAATTCAAATTTTTATTTTATTATTTTTTTTTTTAGTGTTAGATATAAAAGGGAAAAAAATTGTCTTTAATCTTGCATCAAGGAGGATAGAAAAAAAAATTCCCCATTATCTCCTCAGCAATTTTTTAGAAGTTTTTCTCTTAAATCGGTGATAAAAGCGTCTGCAGATATTGTAATAATCTGCAAAAAGATTTCTGCTATTAGGGTTACGACCATTATAATTTTTACTTACCAAAGCTAATTCTTCGTTTTGCGGTTTTCGCCTTGGATCAATAATGTTTGATCCATCATCCACTATCTCACCATCCACGCATAGATAGAATGGCACACAAAGACAATCTTCAGTTGCTCTACCTGGTTCCGAGTAATCAGACTCGTAATCATCATTGTTATCCAGAGACCTTGGATTATCTACCTGCGCTCTGCAGAAGAGTAAAGAGCAAGTGAAAAGAGTTACAACTGATGGCCAAATCCTTGGCAACATAATTACTTCTGACGAAATGACCCTGGAAAATGAGCACTAACTGTTACAAAGTTCAGCAATTACACCAGAAACACTTAGTATCAATTGGACATTAGATATTTTGACTTAGCAAATGTTTAGCCACATTTTAACTATTATGATTCTAGAGAAAAAATATTGAATAGTTTATGAATAGTCACATAATAGAGCATTCATACGCAGTTTTCAATGGTTTAATGAAATAAATCCCAGATTTTCAAAAGTCATCACACTTTGTCGTCCCTAGGGGAAAAGCTGAACCAGAGTTTTTGACTTATATACGTAATGATATATATAAAAAAAATAAAGCATTCCCGCAATAGCCTGTTGTGGGCCAGGGGCATCATGGAGGCTAAGGCCCCACAATTTTGTGACCTATGACATGATTGTAGCAATGTGGTCAGCATTACGCACAAGCCGCAGCCGCCTTTGCGTCCCAGACAATATCTCACTTATCGATCTAAAGTTGGGTGGGCTACACTGGGAATCGAACCCTCACCTTTAATATTGACAATTTAGCCGACCGGCCTGTGTAGGGGGCAGGGAACTGTCCTTGGATCAGAAAGGTTCTGGGTTCGAATTCCTGGCAAGACATGGATGTTCTTTCCTTCTCTGTACTATCTGTCCTTACTGTTGGAGCGACGTTGGCCCACCTAATATGGTGCCCCTGTAAGAGAGGTCAACAAAATCGCCCTGTAGATACCTGAATTGACGGATGTTAACACAGGCGGGCATTAGAGGAAAAAAAAGAATTATTGGCAATTTAAGTGTCTTTATCACTGATTCATCGCAGCTAAATGAAAATATAGAATAAAACAATTATGGTAAGAGTGAGATTTCGTAATTAAACTCTAAAATATTTCTTAAACTCGATTAAAAAATCCGAGGAAATTTATTTATTTTTGAATTTAATTAAAAACAGTTTAAAATTCAAATATGGTGAAATTAATATTATGAATCTTTGCAATTTTTAAACATTGTCTTTAATCAAATTAAATTTTATTACAAAGGATTACTCTTGTTATTTTATAAAACTTCTTTAGTTTGAATAATAAAAACTTGTCTTTTTTTTACATATTAAATTCGTCTAACAATTCTGATCGTTGTATTGATTCAAGTTCATGATCCATTTCGATTCATTTTCGATCCGGCATTGAAAGGTTGTTGCTAACGAGGATGAATACGTTATTGATTAAAAATGAAATCTTGATAACAAATATCAAATGCACCGAAACGACATTACTTTCCGATCCCCCAATATACATATAGCGTGCATTAGAAATTGATGATATTGTAAATTTAAAAGAAATATGGACAATAGTCATTCTGAAGTATAATTCTTTTGTGTTTGCGATGGAAATCGATATAACTTAAAAAAAGCATAGAATAAAGAGCACAATCACTCTCGCTGTGAAGTCGGTACTGGAATTTTTTTTTTTTAAACTTACTACATATGTTTTCAAGAATTGTTATATTTTGCATGATAGCTAACATGCATTAGTTTTATATCATAAAATTTTGAGTTGAGAACAATAATTCGAAATTTGATTTTCATTTAATATAAATATCCCGTGAAACAAAATATTGCCTTGCCGAGAATGTTTGCACTACTTGTATTTCCTATTGTGCGAGTATCAAAAATTATTTTAATTCAAACAATTTACAAGATTGATAATTATTATTTAAAAAAATCGATTTACGTCCACAAATTTAGATTTTTACCATTTTGAAACGAAGAAATGAATCTAATGTTAAGAGTTTAAGATACTAAATTTTAATTGTGAATTAACGTTTTTTTTAAAAAAATATTGTTAAATTATCTTAAATTTATTAAAATTTTAAATTTTTACTAAACTTTTTAAATTATCCCACCAAACGAGAAATGTGGCATAGACATTTCTGGCTTTCACGTCAAAAATTAGAAACTAAATGATAATATTTACATATATATTTTATAAATACATATTTATTCCACATATATATTATTATGAATCAATATACATTTTATTCATAATTTTTTTTTCCGGAATTCGACGCAAAGTAGTTTGAAACATAGAGGAGAAATCGTTTGCAATAAAATTTAAAATAAAGCAAAACAGTTGTTCGAACATTTGAATTTTTGTAATTTTTACCGTCTTCTATGGAAATATCGGTGTCACATAAGCTTAGGTTCAAGGCCTCTCAATATTTCAAAATTTGTCATATTTTGCGTGCAAATATAAAATGCAACACAAAGCCAAATTTAGTTACAATTTTTTTTTTATCTAAGATCACCAATATTTACATTGTTTAGAAAAGAACAATTAAATCGAATTCATTGTAAGTTTACTCACCAGGTAGTTGGACCGGTCAGACTCGTCCAAATTTGAAGAGTGAAAGTACACCAGACGAACCTCACTCTTCAAGGCAGATCTTTTCAGTATTTTTTAGTTAACTGATTACACAAGGTCATAGTCGCTATAGGGGAATTATTATCCATTGGCCAACAAAATTAGTGACGTCAAGGCAGGATGTTGGGAATTCTGAAAGAACTATTTACGCAATAACAGCTTGTCTATTTGAAAGGTTCGAAATTTTCACCTTTATTTTTCTTGTTTTGTTAACACATTAATAGATATATAATTAATAACGCTTTTAAGTGCGTGTGCCTAGGAGCTGTTGGAATGCATTTGTTGCTTTGTTTCTTACATGGAATATATAAAAAAAGGTTCTTGTTAAATTTTTTATTTTTTTGAGTGGGATGTTTGAGTGACAAGATAGAATTAAACTGTCATACTTTTTGAGTAATTCTGATTTGATTGATTGTAAGCACTTATAAATGATATTTAAAAGTTTTGAGTAGCTCAGATTTAGTGATCATGAAGTATGAAAAGTTATTAAAATTTGATTTAATTATAAACCATCTTCTTTAGTGAATGCGTCTGATTCAGCTAGATTCATATCGCTGGTTCAAAATTAAAACGACACTTCTGCACTCACTTCTCATGTTATTTGAATGAGAAGTGAGTGCAGAAGTGTCGTTTTAGTTTTGAACCAGCGATATGTTAAGAAATTTATTAAAGTTGTTGAATAAATTTCAGGGAGGAAAACCTCTAAGAAAGCCTTGTTGTAAGTTAGAAAATCTTGATTCAACAGTTATGGGGCATTTTGAGAAAGGATTCTCAGTTTTTTCCCCCTTGAAAAAAGTTAATTCATTCAGTCAATCTTAGATTCATTAAACTTAGTAAAGCAATATCCTTCGATAATATAATTTCTAATTTCATAAAATTTTTAACCTTTTGATGCATAATTTTCATCAAATATATTTTCTTCATTTTAAATTATTTTGTATCAATTTAGGACAAAATAAGTGAGAAATATCACTGTGAAATCAAGTGAAAAATATCAAATATCGTTTGCTAATAATTCATGATTACAATGTATAGCATGAAACACCGGTGTTTTTCTTTCTACCTTAAAATTTAAAATCTTCGAAACACGGCTCACTTCAAAACAGCAATTTTTCGAATTAGCATTTTTTTTGCTGTTATTTAGATCTAAGAGAATCAATTATTTATCATTGAAATTTCTTTAGGTTTCGCAATCAATTAGTGATAAAGTTTTTAATAAGAATAAAAAAAAAATTCAAATAACTTTATTTATTTATTTTTTTTTTTGATTTTATATTTTAGTTTCAAATATAATTCCGATAATCTACCAGATTCTTTTAGTAACAATTAGACTGCTTCTTATAATTAAAAATTACCAAAAAATATTTTTGCTTAAATAAGTAATTTAACTTAATACTTAATTAAGTCAAGTTGTGATTTCAGAATGTTTTTAATGTTTTATTGTTTTTGGTCTGTGCAAAATATTTTTTTTTCGAGTCAAAAGTGTAAAAATAAAATTCAATGTGTTGTTAAAATATAGAGTGTTAACCAAGTTTTACAGAAAGTTTAAATATGGAATGAAACGATACCTAATTTTATAAACTAATTTTAAGTTATCTCATTAACGTAAAAACATTCATTTCATTTAAAAAATATATGAAAAGGACTTCCAATGGAGGGAATTACTTCATTAATTGTTATTTGTCTTGCATGAGTTTAATTGCTTATGAGTACCGATATGCGCAAAAAGTATCACTTAAATTTTATTTTTAAACTCTTAGTTAATTAAAAAGTTGCAAAAAACCTCAAGAAGAGTAAAAGAAATATATTAGAAAAAATTGAACAAACTAATATGTTTTATAACCAGCGTTGAACAGCCGACCCAATTTTGAGTTTACGACTATCAATGTTCAACTCCGTAGCCTTGTAATTTTGAACCTAACCCAGAAAGTGAGGGAACTCCTGGATCAAGCATTAGGACAAGCTAGCCTTCGTGGAGGATTTTTTGATTGAAGTAACCCGCATTTAGATGACATGGAGAGGAAAACCACGAAAACTTCCCATGGTTAACTCGAAGGCAAGGAATTCTTACCTATGAACAATCTACCTGTTCATGTCAGCACTGTTGTTGTTGCTAGCCGGGAGCAGAATTCGTATCAACCAGCTACCGCTTCGATTCGAACCTGCTTACCTCATTGTGAAGTAAACTCTCTATCTCCTGAACCACAGCGGCTCAAACTAATATGTTTCTTGAGGTTGCCGAAAGATTAAAGGAGGACAAACTTCAAACGAACTTAATCACTATACCTCGTAACTTTGAACACGCTTAACTGAGGTGGTCGATGCCTGATCTGGTACCGTTTTCTCTAATGCAGTGACAGTTAGTTCCGATTAATTAAACAAGCTCCGATCCTGAGTTGGACTTAGACTTGTCGCTCTCAATTAAATATATAAGAGGTGTTCAAGCATGTTATTTTCATACTGTTCTTTTCAAAACCAAAAACTGCTACTCCAGAACGATTCGGACTTCGAAAAGTGGGGATATGCTGAAGTGTACACTTTCTGAATTTTTAAGGTAGGTAGGAGTCCCGCAGTGGACTAATCGTAAAAACAGGGTTCGCAGTAGAACACCAAAGTCAAGCATCACTGGCTGCTGTCAGTAAGTGGGTGGGTAACCACTTTGATCAGCCTACGTAGGGACCGAGGGTACGCGGTATCAGTCGTCGTTAAGCTGTTTTACCGTAAAGTGCTCGATTTTGCGAGCAGGTTTGCGGGCTACCAAAGCAGAGGAGCCATCCCCTCTGCAGAGGATCAAAATTGGATAGCGTGTCTTCGGATCATCCCCAGGGATGTGTCCCAGACTTTCGCCAATAGCCCATTGTGCAGCTCTGGTGCTACGCAAATAAAATATCTACCTACCTAAGGTGCCTTTTTTGAACAGTAAAATTGTATTTTTTCTCTCACCTCTATCTTGATGAAAATGAAGCAAATTTGGCATGTGTGTGGGAAAACTTCGGATATGAAAATATACAGTGGTCCTAAAGTTAAGTACTTGCATGTAACTTTATTTATTTATATTTTATATGCAAGCATACATGAGCTTGTCTTCTCAAAACAATGAATGGCCAGAGTTATGGTGGGATTTGAAGCTTGCAGGTGCAATGGCATAAACGCTCAGTCACAGAGGCTCTTCATGTTTTTCATTTTTCTCTTACTTCGGGATATGAACTTGTGAACTTCTCTGACAAGCTCTTTACCTAATTTTATTCATCATAATCATGATTATTTCTTCATTCTTCTCATCAATAAAAACGTAGGGTCTGAATTCAAGAAATTCATGGTACAAAAATCTAATCACGTTGTGTAAATTTGCTTTTGATAGGAGAAGAACAATATCCAAAAATTGCCTTCCTGAATAACTGCAGGTCTATTGCCTTCATGTTGCCTTCATGCTGAATTAATGTACAATAAAATGAATGAGGTAATTATTTTGTTCCCACTAAAGAGGTAGCACAGATTCAAAGAACTTAGTTTCATTTTGAATAGCAGCAATTTTAAAAATCTGGGTACTATGGGCAAAATTGTAAGCTATTTTCTGTGTTGAAAATATTTGAGGGCTCTCTGTAACATGGAACAGTTAGCAAATGCTCCATTCACGAGACTTTGAAAATGCCATTCGATGCAAATTTTTATGTTGGAAATGTTGGATCCAGGATCTTCGCTTTTTTAAAAATTATTTAGCACACTATTAGCTTTATATTCTCTTGATTACATTTGAGACTATGTTGAGTAAAACACAATTCAAAATTTAAAAAACAGACATTTTGTATAAATTTATTTTAATAACCTTCCTAGAAATGGATTTTAAGCCCGTAAATCACAGTTCCTAATCACGATTAAAAGACATTACAAATAAGTTCCAATGATAAAAAGTCGGAAGCTTTTTCACAAAGAATGCTCTTACATGATGTTATTACAGAAAGTTATGTATTCTGATGATATGAATAGATTACAACTAGACCGAGGAATAATTTCAGGAATGAGTGATTTGAACATCATTACAGCATCCGAACTGACACAAAGGAGAGAAAGTAAACTGTTATTTTCAGAAACTGTTTCATTTCTTGCAGCGACATAGATAAGAACGTGTGAAAATAATTTTTTGACGAATGTAGAACATTTACGTTTCATTGTGATTTCATGTTCATGTAAGGTTGAAAAAATCTTAAAATTTTTACATACCCAAACATCTTTTTTGAATGCATATGACTGATCTAGTATTATTCTATCGAAGAAAAAAAACAATAAAAGTGAACCTACGTCAGTCAACACTTTTATTTCAAGTTCTGTATATTCATCAGAAGTAATTTTTAACAAAGTATTCAGTACCAATAAACATTATTGCATTGTTAGAGTCAAAACAGAACATAATTAGGAACGAATTTTATTTAAAATTTAGTTGTAAAATAAATCACCTGATCTGAAATTATCGATTTTCATTTAAGATTTGAAGCAGTGAGAAAAATTTGCTTTTATTTTGCGATATCAACTAAACATTTATTTTATGCTCAACGACTGGGATGTAGTTTAGAGTGGAGTAAGACCAGGTAGTAATGTAGAATTGTGTAAACCGATTGTGTGGAAATTAGTTCTGTTTTTTACAATATTGTAAAAAACCCTGAATTACACTCAACAAGTCAAGAAAAATGATCTAATATATTTGCATATTGCTGTTGATTAAATCACGGTGCCTGTGTTGATAAATTTGTTTTACAATGCTAACTATGCAATGCTCTCTTGCTTTTTAAGCTATCCTTACTTATTGGGTCTCGCAGTGGGCTGATCTTAGGACACGGCTCTCACACCGAAGTCAAGCATCAATGGCTGTTTTCAGTAAGCCGGTGGGTAACCATTTTGATTAACCTACGTAGGTACCGAGGATGCATGGTATTGGTACTCGTTAAACTGCTCTACCGTAAACTGCTCGACTTTGCGTGAAGGTCGTCGGGCTACCAAAGAGGAGGAGCCATCCTCTCTGCAGAGGATCAGAATTGTGATGTCATGTCGTCGGATCATCCACAGGATGTTTTCCAGACCGTCGCCAATAGCCCATTGTGTAGCTCTAATGAGACGTAAATAAAGTACCTACCTACGTTAGTTATTGGTTTTTACAGTTATGAAAATTATTTTCTGTCC